TCACTTCTTCAGATGCAAGACTTCTTGCATCTGAAGAAGTGAGGTTCTTACCCACGAAAGCTTATGCTCCCAATACTTCTGTTAGTCTTAAAGGTGCCACAGGACCCTCTGTTGCTTTTTAAAGATCAAAGTTGGTTACCTAAGAAATAAAATAAATTCACAGTGAGTGCTACAAACTAAACAGGGTTTGAATAAAGCAGTGTCTTACCCTGACAGATGGTACAAAGAGGTCACAGATCTTCAGTACACACACTGGAACTCTCCTCCAGCCTGGGACCATACTCCCCAATTCAAAGTCTTTGTCCTCCAGATGTGTTTCCAGGTGTTGAGTGTGGCAGGAATGAGGCCAAGTGATGATGTCACTTCCCCTCTTCTATAGTTTCTTCCAGTTTGCTGAAAAGATGTTTGCTTGTGATGTAAAGGTCTGCCCACATCGGTCAAGCAGTCTCCATTATATATGCCCTCTCCATGAGAAATCTCCATTGTATACAGTTCCTGGGATAGTGGATTCTCTTTAATGGGCTGTCAGCACGACTGGCTATTCCACATTCGTACCTGAAAGGCTGGTTGTGGATGTTCCCAACCTCACAGCATATTTCAGTAACACACACGTAACAAAACTTCATAACTTCCCATACAATGATAGCACATACAATCCAATAGGATATTAATATTCAATAGATCAAGACTTTTAAAATGATGCCTCACAAGGCATACTTTGTACAAAACATATCATAATTATATGACAGTGATGAATATGGGGGTTCCAGGGTGTTGCTTTGAGGTACAGAGTGCCACAAACTCCCACTGAAATCACTGGGAGTTAGCCAGCTAAACACCTTTAAGGGTCTAGGCCAGAGTCCTTCTACTTCCACTGCAGTCTAGCACTGTTAAAGGCATTCAACATCTCTCAAGCTTGTTGTCAACCATGGGGATAATTGATATTTTGTATTTTTCAGGAGATCTTGAAGGTAAAGTAAAATGGCTGGACAATTTTCAGAAATTTAGGCAGCTGCAAGAGGTTATAATTTGGCCTCCACTTTGGGATCGTGACAAAAAGTTCTCTCTCCCAGAGGTAAGCAGTGTATTCACCACTATTTAAATGATAGCCTGAGCACTTTTTCTGTGAAGAAAATTTTCATATAGTTCCTACATTTGCCCAACCTTAGTGTTGTGGTCTAAAGATGATAATCATCTCTGTATTCTAACTAATGTAGATGTACATTATTATTATTTTTATATTCTGGTAGTATGTAGATGCCCCAATCAAGAGTAGGCTCTATCGTGCTAAGCACTGGGCAGACACATGTGCACAGATGTTGTTAGCCTTGAAAAACTTATCCTCTTTGTACTTAGCTTTACTCACACAAGTAGTTCAGGGCTGGAGAGAAGGACTGTTCCCTGCTGCCGCATCTCTGGCAGTAACCAGAGTCCTCCTTTCACCTTCTGAAGTTCAGGGTCTGTCTTTTGGGAGGTGGAAAGGGTTTCTACTGCACTTGGCTCTAAGGATGGAATGTCACCTGGCCCAACAATCTATGGGAGATCACGCTGCTTACTCCAGGGAGCTGAAGCAGTATCCCAACCCAAGAATCATATAGGATTGATACAAATCTTACTTATTATTATTCCTTTATTAGCTGGTTTTGAGGTAAAACCATGCAAAATTGCTCACCTTCCCCACTTCCCAGGATGAAACTAAGAAATTCAGGTTAGCATTTGAATAATGTAAAAATATGAATTTTCCATGAGAATGGGTTTTGCTTTCTGCTGAGGTGACCCATTGACCTCCCCTTGCCTTTGAAGCCTGCCATTAAGTAACATTATGGTACAGTTGCTAAGTGGGGCTCACCTTGATGTTCAGTGCTGTTAAATTCACTAAATTCACTCTAAAGAAGATGATCCCAGTTTGAATTTTCAAAGAATTAAATTTGTTTAATCCATAGTATTGCTGAAAAAACCCTGGCCATGCTAAGTTGGTAGTTGTCGGCCATGCTTAGTTTGATATAAACCTGCACATCCTACAAATACGAAGAGTATTTCTCAGACTCCTTAACAACTGGTCAATTTCCAGTTCCAGGTCAAATTTGTATGATTCTCTTTTCTATTTTTTCTTCCAAGTGTCTGAAACATATTTTAAGAGAAAACATGAGTGAAAACATCTTGTCTTCCTCAAACAGACAGCTTCTTCATGAAGGGAGGTTAACTCTTGCAGGTAAATGCCATTTTATTCATGTGCCAGCATTACAGCACCATATTCTGTATGGTCAATACAGCACGGATCTGTGCCCCACTGATTAATTAGAAATGTGGATCAAAGAAAAACAAATATGCAACATGTTATACAGCGAGTGAGAAATAGCTAAACTGCCAAGAGGAGAGTAATCTGTGTGATTGGTTATTGTCACATCTGGATGGCCAACCTGCTAAATGCTGAAGGAATCAGCTTGACTGGCCAATGTCCAAATTTCAGAGCTGGTTTTTTATTGTGATATTCAGGATTGTGGCTCAGGGAACACAGAGGAAGTTGAGACTGATTTGTAAAAAGGCGTCCTTGTTATTGTGTAATTGATCTAGGTATCTAAGCAGTTCTAATGCATCTATCACTTTACTAGTATCTAGGTGCCATACGTAAGATTAAGGAAAGAATTAAAAAAACATTTTTTTCATCCCTCCTAAATTATAAACAATTTTTCTAAGGGATTAGCCTTGGTGGATGTCTTCAAGGAGGAAGGTGTTACCACACTAGATTGTGCCCGCTGCTAGCGAGGAAAAGCTTATTGAAACGGGGGACTCTTGAGACTATCCCACCAGTGACATGATCTTGCCCAGCTGCAGTATATTACAGCATTGGAACATGTCCTTCACGTCAATCCCAGCAGCATCACATTGTGTTGCTGTGGCACAACATAACACAACGTCGTATCTCTGCAGCACAAGCATCATGTTGTAAAGACGTGCAGGTTTGTCTCATTGGATGAATAAGTCAACATCCCTATCTGAGCATGCTCATCCCTACCTGAGTCTGAGGTAGAGACTGGGCAGCGTCAGCATCCCCGTCCTTATCCAAGTGCAAGGAAGACGGAGCACAGAAGAGGCACTGAGAACAGCACACTGGGGTGGGATAAAGGGCTCAGTGGTGGTTTAGGTATGAGAAAAACATCTTCAGTTTAAAATTCCCTGATTAGTGCAGCCGGGCACTGAGGCAAAGAGAATAAGGTGTAGAAGTTGTGATTCACCTTTCTCCTACCCTCACAACTATCATTAAACTGGGGATGAGGGGACCAGACCAAGATTTCTCCTTCCCCCACAGACACAGGCCAGTAACAGGGAGATGAAAATGTAAGGTGGTAGAACAGGTGTAATGGTTGGGGCATAAGAATTAATACAATTTTTTTTTAACTTACAAAAATTCATTGCTATTGTTTGGGAGGGTTTGGCGGAAGGGGGCAGAGCACAAGTTTTTTTAATCCAGCTCTTCCTCTCATGCCCAAACTTTCAGCCAGCAACCCCCATCACCTGAGCTGTCCACTGTGATGAGATTAAGTACTGGTACTTATCAAGGATCTACATTTCTTGCAGGAAGAAATTTACATTGAAGACAGATAGGATGGCATGTCCCTAAATCTTGCAGAAATAAATTTGCAAGCTTAACTTCTTTTAGCTAACATAAGCAATCTGAGAGAGTGCGTGGTTTGGCAATATTTCTTGATCTTTTCATTTTCAAGATGAAAATGAATAAACATAATTCTAACCAGGCTGAGATGCTGAAAATGGGAAAGTATCTCCTAAAGACACAGATTTAAAAACACACACAGTCTGATACTGAGGTGTGCTGTGTGTCTCCAAGCCCAGTGTCAACACCCTGAGGTGCCCAGCATTTTTACTCTGAGATAATTCTCTCAAAACTGAGTTGTTTCTTATTACACCTTGAAACCAAAAGGAAAATGAGTAAAATGTTGATCATAGCTTCCATCCTAAGAAACAGGTTTACTTCACTGGACATTCCATGACTAAAATGTCTCCTCCTACCATTTTAAAATAGTGTAATCAAAACCTTATGTTAAAGCAGTATTGGGAATCAGAAGCAAACAGACAAGGGCCCAGAAATCCCGACTGGAGCCTGCCACACCATCTCAGCATAATGCACCACATATGAATATTAGGGATGGTATGTGGAAGAAGCAGTTCTTAGTAGCTGGCTCACAGCTCTGGTACTCATGGCTGAAAGTCAGGCTGGCCACAAACCTCACCACCTTCAAAATGAAAACCTCAATTCCCAGCAGCAAATGGATTCAAAGGATCAATTATCCTTATGTTGTTATAAGTAGAAGAAATACTTGCTCAAGCTCACAATACCTTCCCCCACCAGCACAAAATCAAAGGAAACATATTAGGTGCAGCCACTGTAGAAATTGTAAGACAATGATGGGCAAAAGTACCTAGCACAAATTGAATAAAACATAACAGATTAGCTACTGTACATAGATTAGACAGACTACTGGATAGAGTTTACAATAAAAAATGTTCATCAGTATAATCCAGGTAACACTATGTGATCAAATATATACCACTGCTAAGCATGAAGGAGCTATGACAAAAATTATACAAGAGCTTGAATATGATACTTGGGCCTTAAGAGGGCCAAGGAAAGTAAGTTTTAAACAAATAAGATGGGGAGTCTCATGTTACTTGGTGGTGTACTGTTTGTAGTATCCTGAATCCCTGGTGAGATAAAGGGGGATTCTCATTGTAGCTCCCACAGCCTTCCAGCCAGCCCGATTAACCAATGTGCACTCAGTTCACTTGTACAGAGCCCCCATCTCAGGGTCAACCTGACCACCCAGAGGAAAAACAACACACACACAAAAACCCCGGGGCCAGGAAGCAGCGGGGTGTGGCATTGTAGGGGGGGAAGGGCCCCGCCTGCACGCTGTGTCAAGAGCCAGTGCAGGACAGGAGCCACTGTGGGGTAAGTGCAGGATGGGCACCCTCCAATTGTTCCCCCTGCAGGCCTCCCACTTAAGTTAGGGGGCTCCCCAAAATCTTTAATCCAGCCCTGCTTCCTACAAGTGGCTAGTCCATGACATTGTTAACCTCTAGTAGCTATTGGTGTTGCCTCCTGAAATAAACCAAGTCGTTTCCAAACTAAAACATTTCAGAACAAGCACTCAATGAACTATTTTCCCATTCTCCAGATTGCCTGTAAGTGAAAGTTCTGGCTGTCCCAGTCTGACCTGTAACACTGAGAATAGAAATGCATTTTGAGAGATTGTTCATTTCAAGACAAACATTCTGAGTATGGAATTTCCCAACGGCACCACACCTTCTGAAGTTAACATTTTATTTAATGCTGGCCCTGGAGTACTCCTATCTTGGGTATCAGAAGTAACAGGCGGGGTGAAGACACCAGATATAAAAGGCTTATGAGTGGCCAGTGATAGCATGAAAGGGTGTGAACTGGAGTCAATACAGCTAAGCGTTATACAATAAGAATATTGCTGGTAAGAGAGAACAGGGACAGACAAGAGGAAAAGGCGGGAAAGGATAAGGTCTGCAGAAGAGAAAGGAAGTGATTCTGGAAGAGACTAGAGTAGTGAGACAGGACCATGCAAGAAATAAAAATAAACAACAGCAGGTTGGAAATCTGTAGAGGGAGCCCCAACGATAGACTGAGGTGCAAGCTCCATCCTCTGGGCATTCGATCCAACAGACTCCCAGAGCTCTAAATGGTTTGCCACATTCCAGGATCCTGGGGTTTCCCTATTTCCCTTTGAAACCATCACCTTTGCTTCTGATGCATGATCACTCATTGTTTATACTACCAGAACACCTAGAAGCCCCGATCAGGACTGGGGCCTCCACCTTGAAGACTTCAATACATACTTATAAAAAATAACTTCCTCTTAAAAGACTTTTGTTTCACTATTTCTTCTCTTACCGCCAAGGTAGTGATGGAAGTTGAGTCCACTCTACGTTGTGTAGTTACTGAAGGACCTTTATAATGCCATCAACATGAAAATCTGAGCTGTATCATGTAGGCACAATGGGGTGAGACTTTGTACAACTATTTTTAAGGAATCCAGATGAACACTGGAATTTGCCCTCATTATGTGTCTGCAGTTGCCATAGGGTTAATATTCCCTGGTGACCCATAAGTGAGTTGTTTGGTCGACAGCATGCTGCTCTTTGTAGCTGTGTTCAAAGATATATGATCTGAGTTATTTTGGCAATGAGAAACTGCTGGTCTTTTATGATAATGTGGCTGCAATGTGCCACAATTATGAATGGCCAAAATGACAAAGCAGAATGCCTTTCAAGTCTGGAGTGTGTGAGAACACAAAAGAGACAATGAGTGGTGGAGTGCCACATTTGGAGGTCTGCTTAAAACGTGCTTAAGATCTGCTTTAGAATAGAAATTGCAGTTCCTCAAAACAATCATGCTACTGTTTTGTTTTTCTCCTCAGAAAGTACAAGGATCCTTGATGTCTACCTCTTTCTATTCAATGATTTCCTATTAATTACCAAAACTAAACGTAACAAAAAGGTAACAATGGGCAGAAACAGTCACACTTACTGTATGTGTTTTTTGCAGCCTGGAAAATATTTATGCAAGTATATTGGAAGAATTATTTTAAAGAGAAAAATGCAAGTGGAATAATGTATATGAAGGATAGTAATATATTTTTTAATATAAATAGCAAAGAGTAAATCACACCACAGTAGTTCTTCAGGGCAATTTAAATAACAGGAGATGTGTATAAAGGTGTGATGTTATAGGGCTGATATGGTGTCCAAGGTGTGTATTATTGGACATTTCTTTAATTCCTTTACCGTTCCCCCAGTTCCCATACCCAACATACTGGATCTCTAAAGCCAACGACATCTTCTGAAGTGTGCTGGGCACTTTAATGGTACATATCAATCCTATAAAATGGCAGTCTTTTGTGTAAAGAAATCAGAACCTTTGGGAGCTAAAGGGGAAAAGCAGAGAAACAGTGAAAATGTTAGCCTCGTGGAAAGAATAGCAACATACTCAGAAGCTCTAGGTTCTATTTCTGCCATTGCCCTTGCCAGGCATAAAATGGGAGCAAGGATACTTCCTTTGTAAGGCACTTTGAGGTCTGCTGATGAAATGCACTATATAAAAGCTAGGTATTATTAATTATTCACCACCGAACAGGCATTAGGCATTTGAGGCTCCAGTGTCTTTGAGTACAAAGTCAGTTAAATTTATGAAGATCTTGTAATGACTTAGCAAAGGTGACATGCTGTAATGCAATAGATGATTGCAGGAGACACTGTCTGAATTAGACGTGGTTTTAAACAGACAGCAGTTGTCACATTTTATAGGTTTTGAAAGAGCACAGGTTAGAGTCTATGTCAGCAACACCATGACAGTCACATTCCCAGTCATGTGGTTCTCAACAGGGGTATGTGTACCCCTGGGGGTACGCAGCAGTCTTCCAGGGGGTACATCAACTCTTCTAGATATTTGCCTAGTTTTACTATGGGCTACATAAAAAGCACTAGCAGTCAGTATAAACTAAAACTTCACACAGACAAAATGAGAAAGCAATTGTTCAATAATAGTGTGCTGTGACATTTTTATGTCTGATTTTGTAAGCATGTAGTTTAAGTGAGGTGAAATTTGGGGTACGCAAGACAAATCAGACCCCCGAAAGGTGCACAGTAGTCTGGAAAGGGTGAGAACCACTGCTCTGAACCACACATGCAGGCCCCCATAGGAGGGTTTGCCCTGTGTATGCGTGAATCATGTTTCAGAGGCGCTGCATCACCTGTGTGGCCCTTTGCAAATCCCTCATTACAGGCGTCAGTACCGAGCCACCCCTATGGACTGCACAGGGTTCTACACTTGGCGTATTTTCTAGCAGCAATAAACCCACAAGTGTGAAGAGAACAGTAACCTGTGTTAAATAAGGCATTTGAAAAAAACTAGTATGGTTTGTTTTGAGCACTTGGACTTGGCTTTGATTTTTAATATGCAGGTTCGCTGCATACTTTGGAGGTTGTTTAGACAGTAACAGAAAAACGTTTTATTTTGAGGCTTAGTATATACATGAACAACAAGGAGTCCGGTGGCACCTTAAAGCCTAAAAGATTTATTTGGGCATAAGCTTTTGAGAGTAAAAAAACCTCACTTCTTCAGGTGCATGGAGTGAAAGACTTTCATCTGAAGAAGTGGTTTTTTACCCACGAAAGCTTATGCCCAAATAAATCTTTTAGGCTTTAAGGTGC